TATATATATTAGGATAGGCCAAAAAAAATGTTTATATATCGATTAGCAATACCTCTCAAAAATTAGCTATGGCCCTCAATATGATTTGAAAAATTTTATTTAAATCGATTAATATTTTCAGGTTGTCTCTCGACTTTGAAATCAGTATTTATGCATTTCTTGGATACATGTGTCAAAATTCGAAAAAATTTAAATTTCAATACAATTTAGCAATCAATCGCTGAATATGAATCAGAGGTTAGAAGTACACATTTCAAAATGGTAAATCCAATATGACGACATACAGAATGAGCAAAAAGTCTCGGACTGGTAAAATATCTTGAAAACTAAATATATTTTTGAAAAAAAATGTTTCCTATAATAGTTGTAGAGTTTTAAATGATCTATTTATTGATCTGATCAGTCTGACCCTAGATAGCATCATCAAGATCATGTCAAGGTCACATAGATTTTTTTAAATGGCATTCCCTATTTTTTATTCCATAATCTAATAGCCGATGTCGAGAGCTTTCCAAAACACTATAATAAAATTATTTTTTATTAAGCACTTTTCGGATTATTAAAAATTCATTTTTTTTTATGTAAAAATGAAAATAAGAAGTACATCTCCACTGGTCTTAATGTTGACAAATATTATCCAGGACATGATCCTAAACAACAGAAGTTTTAGCCGTAGGTCGGACATCTTGCGTAATGCTAATACCGGCGGTAGTAACTTTCGAGTCTTATAACTCGAAAAGTACTTAATAAAAAGTAACTTTATTATAGTACTTTTGAAAGCTCTCGAAAACGGCTTAGATATAAAAAATAGGGGGAATCATTTTTTAAAAAATCGATGATCTTCACCTGATCTTGGTGATGCCACCCAAGTCAGACTCATCAGATTCGTAAATAGATCATTTAAAACCTTACAACTTTTGTAAGAAACATTTTTTTTGAAAGGCTTAGTTTTCGAGATATTTCATCGGTCCGGTACTTTTCACTCATCCTGTATGTCGTCATATTAGATTCGCCATTTTGAAATGTGTACTTCTGATCTCGGATTCGTGTTCAGCGATAAAAAAAAAAAACAAATCGTATCAAATTTAAATATTTTTTCGAATTTTGACACATGTATCCATGAAACGCATTAATTTCGAAGTCGAGGGACAACCTGAAGATATTAATCAATTTTGATGAAATTTTATTCAAATCATATTGAGATAGCTCATCCATAGTTAACTTTTGTTGTTTTGGGGGGTATTGCTAATCGATTTAAAAAAATTTCTTTTTCGACCCACCTAATATACATATATGTATATAATAAGACCCGTATTCAGAACGCGTTTTTAAACTCTAAAATTCTATAATATGTGTAATGTAAAATATAATATGTTAGCGCGCTAATATCGTTGTAAGCGTTCTGAATATGGGCCTATGTGTGTACATAATATATCATTATTTATATTCGGAGTTTAACATAAAGATACTAGTAAAACTTGTCAATTAATCGCATAATATATAATAATATTACATCTATAGGATCGTATAATACAATCTATAGAAAATAAATACTTTTAATGGTTTACCTAATTCCGTGTGAATTTATATACTACATATGTAGTCCTTTAAACTGCGCGCTGAAATAATTTTTCAGTCTTGAAACATAAACTTTACTGAACTACTACAGTAATATCACGAGTTAAATTGACAATTTAACAATTCGATGCTTTTACATACTTTAGAACGATTTTAATAATGCTGAATAACATATTAAAATCTGTAAATAATTAATTTTTATTGCTAGAAATATTACCTCGATTGAGAGTCGAATTCGGATCCCTAGCTTTCTGTGCGATATACATATAATTCTAAATGTGTATAAATAAGAGATTTCCTTTCTTCCTAGATTTTACTTATTGGTTTTTTAATTTAAATAAACGTTTCCTAATTATTTTCTCTAAGCTTTCTTTTATCGCGCGCAAATATACATATACATGTATAATATTTACACATACTTATAGGTTTTAGAAAAAAAAGAGTGGAAAAATTTTCGCACAATGGTAGCGAATAACAGACAACTCCGGAGATGTGGTAAAAAATTACCGAGATATTGTGACATCAACAATGATAGAAGGATCAGTATGACAGAATGGCTTAGCTGTCTCAATGCTCAGCGTCCAACAATAGGTGATATAACGTTATATCTTGTACTTTACTTTTATTTTGTACATATAACGATTGTAAAGTTTTAATGGGCATTTCAGCTAATGATCCGGAGAAACCATTAACTACACCGAAAAGAATAGGTCCAAATCCACTAGATCAGTTTCTCAATGATGATGACTAGCATATTATGTGATAATTTGTGTTCGCTATCCTATAAAGAGACACTCATCTTTTTTTTTTGTCATTGAGCATTAACATAAGTACGACTGCAGGAATTCCTGAAATCACCGTAAGCTTTTTAATGTAATAATATTTCTTTAGCATTTCATTAATTTTCGAGTTTTAAATTTTAGCAATTCTTCTTGCAAATTCTATTCTTATATTTAAAATTCTTAGAATTTTTAGAATTTAAAAATAATCTTTTATATTATTTGAATAACGGCTTACACTCTTTTTGGCTATTTCTGAAAATTTAAATGTTAGCATTTTGCAAAATATTTACAGGCAGTTTTCTCATACTAGTAATTGTCAACACTGTACAATCAGTATGTGTGTACTCTTGTGTACCTAGTCCATAAAAATAATTCTTTAAATAATTAAGCTATCTTATACTGAAAACAAATTCAATTTAGAAAAAGATGTACAATAAAGTAATTTTTATAGCAATCTTCTCAATACTGAACTTTTGTTATACCGTATCTTTATCCATTTCCTCTTTAATCACAAAAAAGTTATTTAATCAAGCGTTTACACATTTCTAGTTTACGAAAGTGTAGATTTGTAATTCAGAAACGCGTGCGCGCATATATCTGATGTACTTTATTCATAAATAGATATTCTTTTACGAACATATGATACTCCACGCAATCTATATTGAGATTTAAAGTTTTTAAAAATAACATAGAGAGAACATTTATTGAAATGGCAAATAGGAATTATGGCACAAAAAGTCCAATGTTTGAAAAAATATAAACCTAATTTGTGCGTCGGTATATTTTCATATATACATGTTGAGTACAATGATACTCTTTCATTTATATACATCTCACACGTATAGTTTTTACAGTCTGAGTGCTGTTTCTTGTACAACAATGATATATCTTTCCTTTTTTATCACAAACAATAAACATGGCTCATAGTCAAAATAGATGTCCATAATGTAATTTGTGGATGGTTACAGTTGCCTCAATTGAGTTTAGTCCATTCTTTTGGCACCTCGTGTTCTCCATGCAATTAGTAAGTTCCAAGAAAAGTACAAAGAGAAACAATGAACTTGTGAAGCTAAAAGAATAAAAGCGTACCAAAGTACACCATATGGCAGACTCTGAAAAGTAAAATAATAAAAGGATGATTGTCTTATGTTTAAGGACAAAATACAAAAAATATAAAATTCCTTTTTTCAAAAGAAAATCTTGCAAATATAATTAATATACACACTCATCTTTATTTATTTGAACAAAAAGTTTAAAGATATTTAATGATATTTTAAAAAAATGAACATACCTGCCACAAATGAATGTCATCAGATTTGCCTACAGTTAAGTATGTCCAGACATCCTTGAAGTAATACACTATAGCATAACCTAATGGGCCATAACCTAACAGGATGATACCTATCATATATTTTTGCAGAGTTTTAATCCTATTCCTTTTAATCGCAGAGAGAGCGAAAAATGATAACGACAAACTAATGCACCATATATACTCCCACCATAATGGCTGAAACAGAAGGGAAATTAATTCATTAGATGATTAAAAAACTCATCATAAATTCAATATCGCTAATCTAAATATGACATATGTTATAAAGAAAAAAACAAAAAATATATATAGAAAGTATATGATTTATTGTGTCAACTTTAGTCTAACTCGAGTCTACAAAGATATTTTTTATTAAAGTTTCACATCATAGTTGCTTAAAATATAGCCACAATTATAAACAATGATTATATTGAACTTTACATCTATATTTTATTATACCTGTGGTACTTGTAACTCCTCGATTTCCCAAATAAATATATCCAGATGATCTAATATGTCTGCAGATAGTTTGGCGAGCATGACGAAAAATAATAGATAGTGAAAAAATATACAATACTTCAGTCTTGATTTGTTAGTCGCACTGGAAAACAAGTACATTTTTGTAAATTTTAACAAAAACATTTTGATATATATCCTATATCTCATATTTTATAACTCATATTACTTCACGGATGTAATTTTTACTTCCAAGTCTTTTATCCATCTAATATTCAAGAACAAACTACATAATTCGAATTTTTACTCGATAATAAGTATATATTGATACGATTGATATACAAAATATATATATATAAAATATATAAATGTGTGTGTGTGTGTGTGTGTGTGTGTGTGTGTGTGTGTGTGTGTGTGTGATATAAATTAATAGTGTAAACAAAAAAAAATATATATATATGCAGTTATTCAAATAGGTACCAAACATAAATTGATATTATCGTATTATTAGATGAATAAAAATAATGGAAAAGTAATTGCTGCGTTACTTTCGCGTTTTCTCACCTGACTTGGTAGTGTGTCGCGATTTTTTGTCGATGACTATAATCGCTCCCATCCGTTCCCAGAGCCTGGGAAAGCGTAACTTTCGAAGCCATAATCGGTAAGGTTCAGTCTCTTCTTTAAATGAACACAAGATTCATTCGAGCGGAGAAGTTAAATCCAAGGCAATTTATGCGCGGTGGTTCATCAACGAGTATTTAACTATTTTTAAACTTTACGCAGCCAGATGGGAAACGGAGTGGCCTCGTCAGGCTTTGGCAGGCCCCGTGATTCCGGAACAGTCCGGAGTATCTCAAAGTATCTACTCAAGACGATGTAACCCAGAATATCAAGAGGGTCTCGACTGTCCGAAACCTCCGAGAGCGCGCTAACAGTATACACAGTATATGCAGAAACACAATCACAATATATACAGTAACGCAACTCTCTGTCGGCACCTTTGATGTTAGTGTTTGGTCACAATGGAATGCGCATGCGTGAAATAAGTAAGTTACCTAACGTTGCCACGGTTACCATCTAAACTTCTTTCTCTTTTCATTTTTTTTTCACTTTGTCAAAATTCCTCGCAAACCTCACTAGATTTATTCACATCGCAATCCAATGAATTCGTTGGAGTAAGTGCTATTGTACAGGGTCCCATTCATCACCGGTCGATTTAAATTTCGCGCTATTTTTAAAACGATGCCGAATCTAAGATCGTGATACGCCTGAATAATTTGCACGCGTTCTTTCACCGTGTACTTTTCCATGATTAATTTCCCATCTGTCTAGATGACATATGTGAAGTTTGAGGTTAATCGGTTTGACGTTTTAAAAATAGCGCGAAATTCAAATCGACCGGTGATGAATGGGATACCCTGTAGAAAGATATTGGAGCATATTAGAATATGCGACGCGAATAAACCTAATATTACGATGAAATAATTTAAACTTTATGAATATTAATAAAAATAAATTGTAAATATATTGAAAAATATAGAAAAAATACATAGAAAAATTAGGAAAAATATTAAATTAACTTAAAAATGTATATTTGTATAAAAAAATATTATGTAATTATATATCTATGAAAATATTATGAGAAAGCTGAGTGTAAAAGAAATTTATACACACATATATATCCAAAAAATAAATTCAAAATATAACAAATAAAAAGAAATCTTTCTTGCTCTTTTCTATGTTACTTTTGTTCACTTTTTCACAAAAATTAGACCAATCTCTCGAGATTCCTCACACAACATTTCACCAAATGGACGTAATACTTTAAATTTTTGCTCTGAACCATGTATGCTTGAAAGACAAATGTTTAAGTGAAACATTGAAACGCTTATTTAAATAAAGAAAGAAATAAAGAAAGAAAGACGAAAAAGAGACGGAGCAACTTACTTATTTCACGCATGCGCACTCCATTTTGGCTAACATAAAATCAGGAGAATTGCGCTACTGCATACACTGTGGTCTCAATTTAAAAGAGAATAACTACAAAATAAGGTTATACCTTCAACTTGTAATGTAAAATTCTATAAATTTAAATAATTAAATATTATCAAAATGGTACGGTAAAAGTCAATGAAATTTTTTTCTAGATATTATTGATATTAACTTTTGTATTACATGTTATATTTAGACTTTTCTTATATTTCATCAAACGCGAGAATCTTCTTAATGTTCCTACATATATCTGCATACATTGTGATGGATAAGAAGCGAGTATAAATTGGTATAAATTACTGTACTAATGTATATTACCGTCGACCATCATCGACTTATAAACTTGACTCTTAGATTCTTTTCATGTGTCGAATTATATTAATTTAGAAAATATATACATTAAGTTTAATACATTGATTACTGTAGGTTACGAGATACTCTTCGACAAATTTTTCGTTCAATTATAAACTTTATTTATCAATTCTTAACAACATAGATGTCTTCGAAGGTATCAAATTACACATGCAGACACCTGTTTCTTTATTTTCATTCGCATTGAGATTTATGTACAGATGTTATATTTTCTTTAATCCTATCCCAACCATAGGCCGATATTTATAGTCAGATCTTATATTCAAGCCCGTCTTAAGTCAACCAATCAGAATCAATCAGAAGGCTACATTAGCGTCTTAAGACATTACTTAAGACAATCTTGAAATAAGACTAAATATGATATGAATACCGGCCATAGACATAACAAGGATAGATTGAGCGTGAGGTTTGAAACGTGAAAACTAGGTAGAAAAGAATAAATAATGGAACCATGGCCGTGTAACCATGGTAGAAGGGATAATTCCGCCGTCTCTGTCTATGAACGTCGCATAAGAGACTAAGAAGCTGCCAACTGTGTAACGCTAAACATGCGATATTCATAATTCGTTTTTATTTTAAAACCGTCTTAAATAATGTCTTAAGATGCTAAGACAGTCTTAAATGCAAGAATCGACTATGAATACCGGTCTGTTTCGCGTCGTGAAATTGGTACTGAATCTTTCCTTATTTAACACACTTTGTTTCTTTTTCTATTGAAAGAGAACACATTTTATGTTTCTCTTTGAAGGCGGAGATTCAGAGAGAGATGCTTGCAAATTGCACATACCATGTTACCCCTTCCACCATGCGTGTAGCTTTCTCTTTCTGATAAGGAAAGAGTGCGGGGGGGGGGGGAGGAAAAAAAAAGAAAGTAGAGAGACAGTTGAGTATGCTCGAGCAGAGAGAGAAAGCTACACGACAATTGCTCTCTCCTTTTTTTTTACCTGATCTTCACACCAAAGTAGAGGACACGCTCGATCTATTCTTATGCCTATGATCCCAACAAAATGCCAAACAGTAACATAACTATTAATTATAATTTCCTCCCATTCAATAATATAACTGTTATGTTATATTACAGTTATGTTAAGTAGAAAATTATAACAATTGTGTTATAGTTGATATTTGTTGAGGTCGTGTGTGTGTGTGTGTGTGTGTGTGTGTGTGTGTGTGTGTGTGTAAAATTAATTCATCTTTGCTAATATCCGCCAATAGCGTTTATAAAATTTGTCAAGATATAAATATTCCTATCGCTTAGAAAAGAATTCGAGCTGCTCTCAATAATGCAACGCAACTAATTTCTCATGGACATATATTTTATAAAGCTCCTATTCTTCAATACAAATTTACATTGAGTAATGGCGGAAAAACATGACCTGATGAATCAAATATATCTATAATAATTACGTTTAAGTCTTATGTCCACGATGCTAGAAATCGGTCCGAGACCTCGGAAGAGAGAATTGACCAATCGCAATAGTCATGTGATCAAATTGTTCAAATGTGATTTGTTAATTTTTTCTCTCCGAGATCTCGGACCGATTTCTAGTATCGTGGACATCGGACTTTACACCGTGCGCTTAGTCTGCGACTTATACGATAGATGTTTTTGTTTAACTTACAGAATAAACAAGGACATCTATTGTAGGACATGACCTAAATACATGGTGTAAACGTAGCCAATGTTCCTGGAAAATGCTCTTTCCTTTAGAAATGCTTTGACAAGTTATATCTTTTTAAAAAGATCTTTCGAAACAAACATTTTGTTTTACGCTAGAAGGAAAGGGAATGTAATCAGGTACGCATTTTGAATGCCGTAAAAACAGCGTGTTGAGATACTGTCAATCAATCGCAGTTATTACTGATTGCGCGTCTAATAAACTCTCACTTAGAAGGATCGAACTATTCATAATCGGCGCACTTACAGTATTCCCTGACCTATTATTACTAAAGGGATAAAAGCTATCGATATTTGTATGAAGAGAACAGATACCGACCTTATCTATCGGTGAAACGCAGCTTTCGTTTATTCCATGTTGATTTATGTCGTTTTGAAGTAACCTAATATAAAGTTCGATATGTCTTTGTCCGCCGTTACGAATTTCAAGTGTCGGTATCCAACGAAAATAGCATTGCGTCCAAAGCTCGAGACTAGAAATCGCGTACAAAGGCTTTATAATTGTTCCGTTTTCCGTTTTTATCTTGTTGGTGGAACTACAGGGAATAAATAAAGGATTATAAAACAACAAGATGTCTTGATCGTTGAATTGTTCTCGCCAGTCCCAAACGCTACGAAGTACAAGAGGTGTGTTGGGATCCTGAAAAATTCAAGTTATGTAATGCTCGTAAGCTTATTAGCTGCCGATCTCTCGGTAGCGACATACGGAGATCTTCTAAGAAGAGGATGGCCTTAAATAAGATTTATTACCATAGCTGCCACTGCCCGATCTCTCTCACAGTTAAAGATAAAGGTATCAAAAATGGAAACATGTGCTGCATCCCATAGTGTGGTCAAGTACGTTTCCGTAAATTCAAATTCTGTTGGATATTGTTGACACAATTGCCACACACAGTCGAGGTATAAAAGAAACAATGGAGACTGTGTAAATCAAATCAAGATAATTTGCCATTGCTAGTATCCCAAGTTTTTTAAGTGTTTCTCAATGTTAAGCTAAGTTCTAACTTGCCATGCGTACCTTTTCTGAATTAGCTTTCACGATGTGACCTAATCTATCACAAAACGGATGGCCACCAGCGACCCATTCCTTTTGTAATAACGATTGAAAGCCTGCTATAGTACGAAAGTGATGATCCAGCAACAATTGCGCTAAACTCGATATAACGCAGCACAAGTCTCTAGCAGCACCTTCTAAAAACGATTCTCGTTTATGACACAAGTCGACTTTGATAAACTCTCGACTTTTCCATTCCACACGATAACGTCAATAAGTAAAGTCGATTGCTTCTGTTAAAAGATTCCTTTACGTCGGCTACATTACGTCTGCAAACAGATTATCTGAACAACTACCTTGTAAGATGACGGAAATTCCTAAATTAAGACGATCGCAAACTTCAACTGTCTTTTGTAGGCAATACGATATGTATTTAAGCCATTTTGTGTTTTCTAATAATGAATAAAAATTATTATCTTGAATCCAGAATTGTCTGATGTTTTCTGAAATAAATATATAGACATTTTCTTTTTTGCAATCTAGATCTACTTGCAAATATCAGTATATTAGTATGGCATATGATAAAGATTTACCTGGTGTGCACAAGTTAATAAATTTAGTGAAACTTGCTGCTATTAACTTTACATTAATTTCTTTGTTCAATTCGATAACAACCGGTGGTATCTTTTGAGGATGGCTTTTACGAACATTTTCAAACATAATATTCTCCTGCATCCTCTCTGTAATTGTTGGTAATAATTCAGACATTTTTACTAATGCTGCACCATGGGAATTCGTCCAGGACCATACTGGTGGTCTATTACCTTGAAAATGTCTAGCTGCATCTGTCAACTGATTGTCCGTCACAGACGCAGGTACCACTACATATTGCGATAAACTACAGAGATAACAGAATTAAAATTCGATTCAACGAATTCATTTCAAATGCATACGTAATTACGTTAATTATGCAAACTATGTAAATGTACTCGTATAATAAGCAAGTTACCTGGGACAAAGTTGAAACTTGGCATTAACCATAGATAATCTCCAACCTTTTCTCGTCTCGTCGCTACACAATGTTCTTTTCAATTCGTTTTGCCAGTCTGAAATATCCCGAAATAGCTGTACATTTTTGTCAAGACTACAGTAGTAAGCCTCTCTGTAATTAGACATACAAAAATTTATTTTGAGCACACATGAGCTATACACATACTTTGTATATTATATTATGAGAAGAGAGGATCTTTTTAACAGTGTAACTTTAATAACATAATGTCCATAATTCTTTGACGGTATAATACTAACTTGTAATCGTAGGCAAATAACAGTTGGTGCCTGCTAGGAAAAGCATGATGTAATAGTGCAGTCAGAAGATTCTTACCATGTCCAAGAGGTGAAAATTTGAAAGAAAACGACCATGTTCTTAGATTCTGCAATTCATAATGCAATACATAATTTTTCTTCATTGTAAATGTTTGTAGTTTATATATAACAAAGTTAGTTGTTGACTTTAAACAATCATTAGTTAGTGCTCTGCGATACCTAAATTATAGAATCGATTTTCGACACTCATTCTACCATCAGATAGCATCATAATATCGATACAAGATCGATCACTTATGTACATTATATAAGATGGAAAACTTACTTTACAAATAATAAATATCCCTTTTACTTTCGATGGTACCGTATTACCAGGAACTAACTTTCTTTTCTTATCTCCTATCATAATGTAAATTTCATCAATATTTGTCAAGCACGTATCCGTATATCCATACAAATGATTTTGTTGCCGAGTAACATTCTGTAATACAGATTCTTGGATATCATGTCTAAATATCGGTTCATGCTTTGATAATCAAACCAACGATTGCAAAGTTACATATCGTTTCGTGTATATATACCTCTCCATTTGAATCACCACTGGTAACAAAGGTAAGTTTAAAATTGGTGACTGACAAAATACCAGATATGCCTTGTTTTAGATCACTAACGGGTAAAAACATAAGAACACTTTGCGCCTCGGCAATAAGAACTTCTCCTGGCAATAATTTTATGCTATTTTCAACTAATGAATTACGTCGGCTGGAACTAAAGGTCTACAAAAGGGTTATGTCCCATTAGCGATTTAAATATTCAGATGCTTCTCCAGTTTCGTTGATTGAGAACTTATATAACAATGCCGAGATTAATTAAAAGCGAGAATGTTTATACAAATTTAAATATAGTTGACAATACCTGTAGCTCGTGCTCCTCTAATCCTACGTAACTAATAAAGTTATTGCTACTTTTGTTTTCCATAATATTCGATCACGAGAAAATCAAAATTTGCAGGTTTAATATGGTTCCTGCAAAGTATCAACAAATGCATAAGTGATATAACGCTTCATTTAATTTTCTTCTTGCATAATTGAATCTAAAATCCAGTTGACACTTGACAACTTTTTCAGGGTACGACTACGATATCGTTCGTGGAAGTTAGAAATTTAAACTCTACTTGATACAGGCCATGGTGGAAGCACAATATCACAATATATACAGTAGTGCAACTCTGTCGGCACCTTTGATGTTAGTGTTTGGTCAAAATAGAATGCGCATGCGTGAAATAAGTAAGTTATCTAGTGTTAACTACGATTATCACCTAAACTTCTTTCTCTTTCTATCCTTTTTTCACTCTGTCAAAATTTCTCGCAAAACTCACTAGATTTATTCGCGTCGCAATCCAACGAATTCGTTGAAGTGAGTAAGTGCTATTATAGGAATATAATGGAGCATATTAGAGCATGCGACGCGAATATTGCAATGAAATAATTTATAAAAATTAATAAAAATAAATTGTAAACATTTTGAAAAATAAAGAAAAAATATAGAAAAATTAGGAAAAATATTAAATTAACTTAAAAATGTATATTTGTATAAAGAAATATTATATAATTGTATATATGAATATATTATGAGAAAGCTGATATAAAAGAAATTTATATACATATATGTCTAAAAAATAAGTTTAAAATATAATAGAAAAAGAAATCTTGCAATGCACGTAATACTTTCCTCTAAATTTCTACTCTGAACTATATATATGCTTGAAAGACAAATGTTTAAGTGGAACATTGAAACGCTCATTTAAATAAAGAGAGGGAGAGAGAGAAAGAGAGAGAGAGAGAGAGAGAGAAAGCAATAAAAAAAGGAGGAAATGAGACGGGACAACTTACTTATTTCACGCATGCGCACTCCATTTTAGCCAATATAAAATCAAGAGTTGCGCTACTGTACATACTATGGTAAAAGGGATTGACATGGTGTGCTCAGAGTATCAATCATGAAATTTTTTTCCTAGAATAAAAAGTGAAAAGTGAAAATTTTTACCATTGAAACTAATAAAGGAATTTTTTACTTTTTACTTTTCATTCTAGGAATAAAGTTTCATGATTAATACCCAGTTGCACCAGAGAGAATCAAGGGAGAGTGAAGCAGATTTATCCGAAAGCCGCCATCTTTAGTGTACTGTTGAAGTGAGTAGGAGATATTGGCTCCTGCACAGAACTCAGTAACGCTTGCCGCGCGGCGGAAGTTGGCGCGGTAGCGCCAATCAACATCTCGCTTGCTCGGAAGTAAAGCCAGCGGCACACGATGCTTATTTTTCTGTTGGATTGCTAGCTGGATTAGAATCTTGTCACCGTATTGGCTACAATGCTGTCAGCACCAGTATGGCAACCAATGGGTGCATCCAGAAGCACTACCGCTTGCTGAGTGCTCAATGAGCTCTTGCATCTGATTGGCATATTCCATTGGATCTAAAATATAGATCAAACAAATACAAGAACTCACTGGACACGCAGTAAGCGCTCGTGCTTCTGGATGCACCTAATATAATGGAAAAATTTTAATCACAGGAAAAAAACAAGCATCGTGTGCTGCAGGTTTAATAGATATATAATTTTTACGTGCGACAAAAGTTGAACTCAATTCAACTTTTGCCGCGCGGCGGAAGTAATATTACATCATTTCTAGAAGTTTTGTATGGTGAGACCAATTTAGTAAGCCATATCCTTTTATTCTTATTTAACATTGGGTGAACAATAAGGATAACACGATACACAAAAGCACTCGATGTTTCTGAACGCAGCTCTAATATTATTGTGCTACAGCCGATTACAAAAAGGTTGCAATATCTTTTTTTCGATGGATTTCGGAATGCAGCTTGATCATTGAGTGATTAATTTTTATTCATGGATCCACAAATAAAAACCAACTCGGTGAGTAAGTTGCATTCCAAAACTCATTGAAAAAAGTATTGCAATCTTTCTGCGATCGACTGTACATACAGTGCACTATAAATGGCGGAATCAATCAGAGAAAAGAATCACTATCCGTTCCATTCTTCCTTGATTCTCACTGAGTTTGATTACCGACGAGATACTATTAAAGACCGACATCCTTATAGGAGTTGACGTCCTTGTGAATATTGAAGTAATTAAAAATTAAAAACTGAAAATATTAATTTTATGATTTATTAATTTAGTAGACATATTTATGCATTTATAACTCAATAATACTCGATTTTTTTTTAATTCTGATTTCAGTGCTATCATCAAAGTTTGATTATCAACAGAAATGATAACTGCAGAGAAAAAATTATAATTTTTCTGCAATATGTAAAATATTATAGTTTTACAAGTATGCATATTTATTTATGGAACATTTATGTAATAAAAAATGTAATGAATTTAATAATGTATGAACCAAATATTTATGTTAATAATAGCAAATTTATATCAATTGTCGATAATGTCAACGTTCTTTAATTACCTCTGGGCTCTTGGGGCCCTTTTTATACCGCCGAAAATTTGCCCAGGGTTGACAGTTTTTAGTATCTCGTCGATGGTTTGGCTCAACAACATATGTATACCATATCTAGATTTGAAACACTAGTCTAGTTTACACCGAGATTTCGATCCGGGTCAGAATACAGAAATCAACTAACTGCAATCGAGCATTCTCCTGTTACAATCGAATGACAAGGTTCTTATATTCCGACTCGGATCGAAATCGATGTAAACTAGGCCACTTCGTGTAATGCATGATTTACAATGGGCAATAGTAGTTGTGGATAAGGAAGTAGGCGTAGAAATCGACTAATGATAGTTAATTATTTTTCTCACATTTGACTATAATTTGTTGATTTCTACGCCTACTCCTTAATTCATTACTGCTACTGCCCATTGTAAACAACACATTACTGTTACTGTTATGAAAAGTGTGTGTGACTAGCTTTACTCTAACCTAGTTTCCACCGAGAGTTTAATCTGGATCAGGATGTAAGAACCAACCAACTACAGTTGAGTCTTCTTCTGTCATTCGACTGTAACAAGGGAATACTCGACTATGGTTGGTTCTTACATTTTGATCCAAATTAAACCCTCGGTGAAAACTAACTCATTGTGTCACCTGTGTACGTTATTGGAGAAAACACTCACTGGGTGCTTTCTTTGGGAGGATCCCGTTTGCCTACAATCCCGATTTCACACACCACTCATATCAGCTGGTGCTGATATTTAAAATTAAAGAAAAATCGTATAAAAAAGTCAAATGGATACTATAATTGATATGCTATTTAACGTTTTACCGATTGTAATTGAGAATTTAGTAATAAATCCTAACATATAGATCTTACGATCACGCAGATGAAAACGCTGCGCAGCTAATTCCAAACATTTGCGTATCCACTGCGCATCCATTACTAAAAGAACGAAAATCTATGTTGTAGTCGATTGTGCAATCGTGTTAAAAGAATAAATTATTGCAAGAACTGTATCCGATGCCTAAAAGAATGTGTCTTCGAGTATCATGTCATCTTTGTTTAACGTTTGGTAAGGATATATCTACAAAACTTGCATAACTGCATAAACATATACATAAAGAAAATTATCCATCAATCACATTTTATGTGCGTCTTCATAAGAGAAATACGATTGGATAACTTTCTTTATGCATACGTTTATGCAGTTATTGCTGGATTTACACTGGGTCCGATGTGCGTCGTATAACGTATTGAACTAATCAGAAAGCAGAATTTTATTTCATATCGATGATACGAAGCAAAATCTTGTTTTTTGATTGGTTGCAGAACGTCGTACGACGCATGTCGGATCCAATGTGAATCCAGCATACGCAAATTTTTGTGGATATATTTTAAACAACAAGAATGATATGACATCCAGGGAGCACCCAGATGGGAATCCGAACGCAGTCCAGCGAGTCGATTGTGTATCTTAAAATGAGATGCCAAAAAAGTGAGCATTCACTAATTATTGACCAATTGAATTATGAATATTCTAGTAAATTTGCTCACTTTTATAATTTTCACTTCATTTCAAGATTCACAATCGACCCTCTTGATGGATACTTTTCAAGAATATGGGCCCAGACTCTCCTTTGAGATTCTCTCTTATTGGTGAAGCTAGAGAATTTTAAAACAAGCAATTTCATTCGGAGGGCAGTGCTTTCTCGTAAAATTGCTTAGGGTACGTTTAGGCCACTGAGCGCGTCATGCGTTGCGTCGTCCATCGCGACGCTAAAAAAGTTCAAGAATAATTATTAATTTACACTAAACGCGTTACTACAAATCAACGCAATACATGAGCGAGCACGTAACCTAGAATTATGGAGGCCTACCAACAACAATTGCGAAAATTTTTGGCATGATATTATTGCATAGACGAATCAAACTTGTGGAAAAGAAAAATCGAAAGATTTATTGATTCTGAGAGCGTCCCATACTTAAAACGAGACCAACTTATGGGAATTGAGAACATTTGATATAGGAGCTACGCTTGTACGATCATGAAACCTACTTCAATTTTATGATAATTACTATAAACTTTTAAAGAAATTCTTGCTTTGGTTGAATCATAATTAAACAAACAACAAATTTTCGAAAACCAATCTGTATAGAAATTCGATTATTATTAACAATTCGGTCAATTTGTCTCTAGAATCTTTTATCTCTGGAATGTCGAGCAAAATTACGATGCGACACATGAAGAGTCGCGCGTCAAATACAATAAAATGGGATGTTTTGATTGATTAACTCGTGACGCAGACGGAAGATGCGACTCGTGACAGCCTGATACTATTGAGGCTGCTCTTCGTCCTGATGAAGTGGACTACAAAATTCATGAAACGTTAGCATTTTAAGAATGGATCTGGACACTGAGGAAACCCGCAAAACGCATAACTTTTATGATAAATCGATATTTGGTTCGTATAATCATGCTATATATAGCTATATGTAGCACGATTATACGAACCACCGACAAGATACTATTAAAGACTATCAATTCTGGATAAATTTTCGGCGGTATAAAAAGGGCCCCAAGGGCCCGGAGATAATTGAAGAACGCTACATTATCGACAATTGATATACATTTTCTATTATTAATGTAACGTCCTGGATTAG